AGCTGTGCCCCCTCAGGGGCCACGCCCACAACTTCCATAACTCCGGGCAGGGGTGAAAGACAGTGCCCCCCACCTGAGAGAGGAGGTTCCTCCTGATTGGACCTTGAGCATCTTGAACTGAAACCGTTTGATAGCGCGGTTCAGTAGACACAGATCTATGATCGGACGCAACCCTCCATCCTTCTTTGGAACAATGAAGTAATGCGGAGAATCGCTCCTGCAGAAACTCCAGAACTGAACCAACTGGGAAGTTGACTGGGTCCTGCAGTCACTGTCCGCACCAAGAAGTGAAAAGTTTCCACTTCAAGGCGTGGCGGGAGCTCTGGACTGGAGAATGGTCTCAACAACCTCAGTTGAGAGACCGGGTGCTATGAGCTGTGCCCCCTCAGGGGCCACGCCCACAACTTCCATAACTCCGGGCAGGGGTGAAAGACAGTGCCCCCCACCTGAGAGAGGAGGTTCCTCCTGATTGGACCTTGAGCATCTTGAACTGAAACCGTTTGATAGCGCGGTTCAGTAGACACAGATCTATGATCGGACGCAACCCCCCATCCTTCTTTGGAACAATGAAGTAGCAGCTGTAGAACCATGATTCTCTTGAGAGAGGAGAAACACACTCTATGGCCTCCTTCCTCAAGAGAATTTCTACTTCTTGTTCCAATACCAGAGCCTGCTCGGGGACCACTAATGTAGTCATAACCCCGTTGAAGTGAGGTGGACGAGAACCAAACTGAATTCTGTAACCTCTCTCTTCAGTGTGCAGGACCCATTGTGAGACACTTGGCAGAAGCTTCCACGCTGTCAGAAAGTCTACTAAGGGAACCAGTCTCTCGAGACTGGCCTCTGGTGTCACTAGAGTAGCCACTTCGGTGCCCTGAAGCGGTTGACTGGCAGGGAATGACTGACCTGACTGCTTTAGCGCCCTCATCTGAGGGGGCGAGCTTTCCCGTGCCGTACCGTACTGTCGTCGGGCGGCAACTGGGAAATTTGCTCGCGGGAGCCCACTGAGCCCTGAAGCACCGGGGGTGGCAGGGGTATCAGTGAAGCTCCCTGAGGGCACTGAGGAGGATCGGGCACCGTATACTGAGGTGTGTACCTCTCCTCCCCAGGGTGGGCTGCCCTCAAGGTCCTGACGATGGAATTGTCAGGACCACTTAGCCGAGGTCCTCTTGGACATAATAACGGTCCCAAGATCAGCTTTATGTTTCGAGTACCCCGACCGAGAGCGCCGCCCCGCCCCCTGATCTTTCTGCGGGGGGGGAGTGGGGGACTGCTACCCCTCTGCAGTCCCAAAGATCTGGGGGCGGCGATGGAGGAAACGCTGGAATGCCGCCGCTTGCTTCTTCACCTCCTGAAACCTCTCGACGACAGTATCGACTGCACTTTCGAAGAGGCCAGAAGGCGATAGGCATCCAGGAAGAAGAATCTGTCCTTGTCTTGCAGTTCGGACAGATTCAACCACAGGTGTCGCTCCGTAGCCACCACCATGTCTCTGGCCGTTTCCTTGGTGTCTCGAAGCGACAGGTCTGTAGCCCGACGCAGTTCGGCGACTACGTCAGATTCCTCTTCCTCCCTATCGTCCAGGTCTTTTAGCAGGTCAGCCTGGTACGCCTGCAACACCGCCATAGAATGCAGACACGCACTGGCTTTACCTGCCGCCGTATAAGCTTTCCCAACCAGGTTGGATGTCAGTTTTACTGGCCTGGTGGGAAGCTTCAGGGCCTTCAGGGACGATGCTGAGGACGGGGAGAGATAGCTTGCACAAATCGTGTGTATCCCCACCCGAGATATAGTGTGGGCAGGGAGGAACACATGACTTGAAACGCCATCCGCTCGTGACAGATTTTGATTTACGCTTAGGCATGATATTACTTGCTTTCTATACAAAGATTCTCCTGACTGACTGAGTGCTTTTGCATACACACACACACACACTACAGACGCGCTCGCTGAAGAGCAAGAAGCTAACATGTGCGCTTGCCGGATGCGCCTTTATGCTTCCTGGTTGCTCACGTCACCCCGCTCGTGACGTCTCGCTTCTCTATTGGACTGATTTCACACATGCTTCAGAACGTGGTCTCGCCGGGGGCGTTCCCAAAGCGTTCGACGCAGCTTGAGTTCCTGAAGGGGAAATAAATATACTAAACTGCATTTAAAATATCATTTCAATATATAGTTTGAAATATAATTTATTGCTAAGTATACTACAAATGCATTTACATATTTATGTACTTAATAAAAATACCCTGGAATTGTACTTTTGGGATACTAAACTGGTATACTTGAAGTCTGCTAAATTGGAACAACTAATTTTGTACTTAACGCACTTTAATTTTGAGGAAGTAGTTTAATTTGTAGTCTAACTAAACATATACTGTACTGAAGTATATTTGATTGAGCTAAAGTGGAACTGTTGCAAGTATACTTTAGATACTTTAAATATCTTGCATTTAAAGATTGATATTATTCAAAGATCATACAATCCTCATCAATAGTGACATTAAA